CAAAAAAAAAGCAAAAAAGAAGCGGTGGGGGGGGGGGGGGGGCAGGCCTCATGACCTGCAAGGGGGGGAAGAGAAGATGGGGGTGGTACTTGTGATTTTTGTAAATATACCCAATAAATCATGCACTCAGTTGTTTGCCATTCTTTTCTCAGTCGCCTTTTTCATCTGCCTCCAAGGGCTGAATCTGAGTAGAGGCAGTGCCCCAGTTAGGCCATTGCCTTAGCTATGGGTTTGACTACTTGCGGACCACTGCATGCAGATACTGTAGAGCTTGGGCCGTGCAACTGCCACCTCTTGTCTGGGCATCTTAGATTACAGCTCCCTTTCTGTATCAACGAGCAGTCATGCAGTGTGGTTGAAGCACTTGGCTCTAGGTGATGGGTACAACAGGCAGGAGAAGTCATGGAGGAGGGAGATGTTCTTAAATCCTTCATCTGGAGATGATGTCTACAGATCCCAAGAAGCTTGACTGCCCCCACTGTGGTACATGGTGCGTTGACAAAGTTAGGCTTTGGAGAGGGGAGAAGTTTCAGTGCTATGCAGAGCAAGAGGGCTGATAGGGACTTTGGGTAGTGCACGCTTGAGTTTGCCCATTTGAGCTATAATACCCACACTCCACGCAGTTTTGCTTTCAGTTCATGGAACTCCTTTGCCTTGCCCTCTGTGAATGATGGACTTAGATCAGTGGTTTTCAACCTGTCATCCGGGGACCCTTGCGGGGTCTGCAATAGATGACTGATCAATCAAAAAGTATATGAATACCCACACTTACAATTCAAAGGGGTCTGCACCTCCATTCAAATTTTTTTGGTGTCCACAAATGAAAAAAGGTTGAAAACCACCGACTTAGATGAATTCTTCCTAGTTCTCTCTCCTTATTTGTCATCTCATCAGCTGCTGCTCTTTTGCTGCACATTGAACATCTCAGTAGCTGTTTAAAGTAAAACGCTTTTTTTTTTTTTTTTTTAAACATCTTCATATCAGTGCCTTCCTGCGCCAAGCCCTGCACATGCCCAGAAAAGGCAGTGCCTTATTTGGACCTGGCTTGCCCAAAGTCTGTAAATATCTGGTGCTTTAGGGGGGCTTTTTTGACACTCAGATGATTTGATTCAGCTTTAGCTAAAAGTGCCAAAAAGCCTCGCTGAAGTACCCAATCTATACAGATACTGCAGAGCTGGCTCAAAGTAATGCACTGCTTCTTCCGATTAAAGCATGGATTTTTGGGGGGTTTTTTTCTTTTTAACATCTGCAAGCAGCCTGTTTGCCTAGGGCTTTGCTCTGTTTTGTGCTTGTCCAGCAGGAGTTGCTGACTGTAGGGGAATGGCTGCACTTTAGCTCATAAAATTAAGAGCTAGTAAAGTACTTCTGCAACCCTTACAAAGCTTAGCCATACAAATCCCATTCCTCTTACTTCTCCTGTGTTAAGATTGCTTGGACTGACGTTCTAAAGCCCTATTTTTATCCTAAAAAAAACTACTTGTTCTGAGGAGACTGTTTCTGCAGATAGTAAAGAAAATCAATCCAGTGTTTTGATGGCAATGTTTTCAGAGGTGCTACCATGACTTAGTTTTCTGTCCCTCTGACATCAGCAGGATTTATATGTAAGCCATTTAGAGCTACATCTACAGAAGCACTTTGCCACTGCAATGCGCGTCAGCACCCAGGCTCCCTATCCAATGAATGCTTAAGAGTTAGATGCTGAAGAACTGGATCTAGATCAGTGGAGTACAACCTGTTAGAGTAGCAAGTCAGGTGTTTGTGACCTGGCTGCATCATGGGCCACCGCTCCCCTCAGCTAGGGGAGGAAGAGACTGGGATAGGAAGTAGCTCCAGGTGTTGGAGGGGAGGAAGAGTGCTCACCTCCAGCTGGGAAGGGGATGAATAGCATGTAGCAGGGAAGGGAAGGGAACCAGCCTGGCTGAGATGTTTGCTGATTTCCAGCCCCCACCCCCGCAATGTCTAAATCCAGTCCCTTCAGGTGCTGGTCCATGAGATTCATAGAAGTAGGGTCAGAAGGGACCTTGTAGATCATCAAGTCTGACCCCCTGCCTGGGCAGGAGAGAAAACCGGGCTCAAATGACCCCAGCCAGGTAGATGTCAAGCCTCCTCTTAAAGACCCCCAGGGTAGGAGCCAGCACCACTTCCCTTGGAAGTTGGTTCCAGATCCAAGCCGCCCTGACTGAAGTAGTGCCTTCGGATGTCTAATCTGAACCTACTCTCTAACAATTTTTGGTGGTTATTCCTTATTACCCCGGGGGGGAACAGGGTCTCTCCCAAACCCTGCTGGTCCCCCCTAATGAATTTATAGACAGCCACCAGGTCCCCCCTCAGCCTTCTCTTGTGAAGGCTGAACAGGTTCAGGTCTCATAGCCTCTCTTCGTAGGGTCTGCCCTGCTGTCCCCAGGTCATGTGGGTGGCCCTCCTCTGGACCCTCTCGATGCTGTCCACATCCCTCCTGAAGTGTGGTGCCAAGAACTGGACGCAGTACTCCAGCTGCGGCCTGACCGGTGTCACGTAGAGGGGGAGGATCACCTCCTTGGCCCTGCTTGAGATGCATCTGTGGATGCACGACAAGGTACCGTTAGCCCTTCTGACTGTGACCTCGCATTGTCGGCCCATGTTCATCTTGCAGTCAATAATGACTCCAAGATCTCTTTCTGCTGCTGTGCTCTCGAGAAGGGAGTTTACCAGCTTATAAGTGTGCTGCTGGTTCCTACTGCCCAAGTGCAGCACCCTGCACTTGTCAGTATTGAAAGCCATCCTATTTTCATTAGCCCACCCCTGTAACCTGTCCAGGTCCTGCTGTAATCTGTCCTTCCCTACTAGCGTGCCCACCTCACCCCAAATCTTGGTATCATCAGCAAATTTAAATAAGCTACTTTTTACCCTGTCATCCAAGTCACTAATAAAGAAATTGAAAAGTGCGGGCCCAAGGACCGAGCCCTGGGAGACTCCACTGCCCACTTCCCTCCAGGTCGAAAAAGACCTGTCCCCACCACCCTCTGAGTGCGACCCTTCAGCCAATTTGCAATCCATCTGACTGTGTAGGCATCAATGCCACAGTCACCTAGTCTTTTGATGAGAATGGGGTGGGAGACAGTGTCAAAGGCCTTGCTGAAGTCCAGAAAGACTACATCCACTGCAACACCTGCGTCCAATGCTTTTGTGACCTGATTGTAGAAGGCAATCAGGTTGGTCTGACACTAGTGAAACTGTGCTGGTTGCCCTTGAGCATCATCCCTGCTGCTCGCTCATCACAGATGTGCTCCTTGATCTTCTCAAAAAGTTTCCCCAGAATTAAAGTAAGACTAACAGGCCTGTAGTTGCCCAGGTCCTCCCTCTTCCTTTTTTTGAAGATGGGGACCATGTTGGCTTTCTTCCAGTCATCTGGCACCTGGCCAGAGCACCACGAGTGCTCGTAAAGCCATGCCAGGGGCCCCACAATAACCCCTGCCAATTCCCTCAACACCCTGGAGTGGAGAGCATCTGCACAGGCTGACCTGAACACATCCAGCCCCTCCAGAAGCTCTCTAACCCAGTCCTCCCTGACCTTAGGCCTGGTGGCATTTGTCCCGAGTCCCGAGATACAGGTTCAGCACCACTGATCTAGATGAACCAAAAAGCTTAGCAGGGCCTGAGATAAGCAAGAGGAAATGTTGGAGAAAGGGATATATTTGAACTCCTTCCTCATGGACTTGCTTGCTTTACTAAGCCAAATGGATGTTTTATGGAGGTGTTACATTAAGTAGCCATTGTAGCAAAGATGAGAATCCAGGTTTCCCGGCTACCGCGTGAGTGAGTCACCAAATTACAACTATGCTCTCTCTGGCCTAATTAGTATTATTTTGTGCAAAGTGGAAACTTCCTTAAGAAGAATGGTGAGTCCCACTGCAAAATGCTCAGTAGTCATTGAATACGTATTTACCTGGAACACTGAAGAAAGGCAGAATAGGGAATTGAACCTTCATCTTTTAGCTCATTTAACTCTTTTAGTTCCTCCACTTCAAGAGGTCATTAAGTTTGCTTGGGTCATGTACCATTTTAAGTACATTATAATTCTGTGCACCCCAATGATTGTACCCTACACACTCCTTGCCCTCTGCCTGTGTCCACCCCACCGATGCTCCCCTCTGTTGCCTGCCTCCCTCCCCTCCCCTCCTTATTTTCTACTGGGGTCCCTCCAGCTCCTACCCAGCTTGCTGGGAGCTGCTGCTGCTGTTGACTGCCCTGAAGGAACAGAGCTGCAGCGGAAGTTGGGGGTGAGGCAGGGAGTTGAGGGGATGGGCATGGGGAGGGCTGGGGGTTGGCGGTCAGGGGTTAGGCATGGGAGAGGATAGATAGCAAGTGGTTAGGCAAATGGAGGCAGGGAGTAGGGAGGCAGGTGGAGGGCGGGGATAGCTGTAGGGGCAGGTTGCAGGAGGTAGTAGGGGGCACACAGGTATGGGGGTGGGAGGCAGGCACAGACACAGAGTGGCAGACTGCATGGGTGTAACAAGAGTCAGAAGGCTCCTGTTAACGGAACTGCAGCAAGGTGAGCCGGCTCAGGGAAAGCTACCAGTTAAGGAACTAGCTACCTGCTGGAGGAGTTTTAGGTAAAAGTCAGCAGTAACAGGCACAAGGGATAGACAACCAGGCTGTTCAGGGGCAAAGAGCTGCAAACAGATGCTAAACAGCTGTGAGGGCGGGCAGGCAAGTCCTTAGGGTCAGAATGAACACACCTGTGATGGTTCCTGAGTCACCTGACCGGGGGGGTGGGGGCAAGGCTTAGCATGTACATAAGCTCAGGGCCTGCTCCTGCCCAGGTAGTCTGGCCTTAGAGGCTGTAGAAGAAGGAGCTCCTGATCAGGAGCGGGTAGGAGAGCTCTTAGGCGGCACTGGTGCTACCTTGGGGGATGCAAGCAGCATG